TACCGACAGACTTGGAGTCCATTTGATTCCCTCTTTTACCTGGAAAGATTTACCTAAGGGTGTCCAAATGGTGATGGAATGGATGGTGGAAGAATGTTATTCCTGGCAAAGTTAAAAGAGGTAGGGTCAAGAGCTGAAGGAGGTCACCGAAAGGGTTGAGAAAATGGAATAACAGCAGGCAAGGCTGATCTATTAGTAAAGAAAGTAAAAGCGAAAGGACCATTTCTGTAATCCTTGACCACAATCTTTGACCTGAGGCTGTATTTTCCACAAAGCACTAGGAATCACCTGTTTGGGAAGAGAAAACATAAAATGTGATCCTGACTCGAGTCCTCACCGCAAGCTTCCAGGCATGAGAATAAGATTTCTTTGGTTTTCATGTGGATCAAGAGAAGCCACTGGGATAGACCAGGAAAATGAGACACTTTTGGAGCTTGCTTCCTCAACTTCAAAATGAGACGGTGGCTCTCAGAATGCGAACCTTTTCCATGTACCAAAAAGACAAACCTGGGAAGGTGTGTCTAGCTTCTAGACAACTGGGACTTCCAGAATTAAAAAGAAACATCCTAAGCCATACCACTGGTGACTTAACACGTGTGGAAAGAAGAACGTACTTCCCAAGAAGTACAAATTTGGCAATGTATGGACTAATGGAGGAAAGCTCCACTGAATTCAAACCCAACCAAGAACCCATTCATAATCTATTTTTGGTTTTTATCAATAGTCAGATACAGAAAAAAAGTCCCCAGCTGAGGTAGTAGAGACTGTTTTAAGAAAGTAGCTTTACGAGTGGCTTTCAGGCACCCACACAATTATTTTCACACATACGCAATTCTTAAAATTATTTCCAGCAAGTTCTTGCAGACTCCACCAACATGGAAGAAATGAACTGGCCCATCTCTCCTGTTTTTCTCTGTGGTTTTAAAGTCTTACTTTCAGAAGATTTTTCTTCACAAATGATATTAACCACTTCTTAATAATAAATAGGCCTGGCTATTTCTTATTAACTCTATTACCATATTCTTCTAATTGTCACCCAACAGTGAACCTTGAAGACTTTAAATAAAGGTTATTTACACATACATGGTCAGCATTAGCCAAATCCACAAGCTACCAATCCTTTTTGAAATCTTATTTTTCTAGTTGTAAATTTATCTTTAAAGTACGATGCCTAGTTTCCTTATTTCAGCACATTACATCTATAACTCAGGTAGATGTGAAATCACTACCCCATTCAGGTCACTTGTTATGATGTCTTGGTAACTCCCCTGAAATTGCAGCAACAGGTAATGTCACAATTTTCAGTTTGCCTTTGATCTTGGGAAATGTCATGGAAGATACGAACCTTGGCGCTTTGAAAGAGGAATCCCTACAATTTATTTCCCAGTTTCAAATACTAATTATTGCATTCTTACGGTGCCAGGATCACGTTTTAAAAATCCTCTCGTGTTTCAGTTAGTACATGCTAACTGCCATTGGCTTATCCAAGAACGTTCTAACTTAACAGCCCCTCCATCATCGCTGGGCATAGGTCATACCTGTATTTTGAGGTTTTGTACAGCCTTTAAGATGGTGAGAATGACCTTCCCCATCTTGATGTTCAGTATTAATGTATGCAATAAATTATGCATAACCCTGCTAGAGGCTTTGGGTAAACATTGAAATGTTGCTGGTAGGCACTGAACAAAGATTTATATAATCTTGGCCTTCATTTCCCATTTCAAACTAGCAAGCGTCTTATTACCAAGCCAGTTCTTTTCAGTTTTTTGCTGTTGAATATTCAGCTATCACAGCTCCTTCTTAAGACTTTCATGTTTAAGGCATTTTATGCACACTCTGAGATTGGAGATTTATAATTTTAAAACACAAAGGCAGCAGGAACTCACTTAGGCATCAGGTTTCACACCTCCATTTTCCATTAGACCTTTACAGAACACGCCGAAAGCCTGGAAATCTATGGTTTCTCTTCGGCTGTTTTCCTCTTTGTCCTACCAATCCCCACCTCTCATCGGTGAACTCCACTTATTATCTGAAGTATCCAAACACTTACCCTCCCTAAGAAGGTTCTCTTGCATTGGTGTGCAAATGCTGCCTTTAAAATGTAAAAGCAGATGAACATCACTACAGAGGCAGCACAGAAAATCCCAAATGGCAAGCAAATAGAGTTCTTTCACAATTTTCAATTATTTCTCATGGTCAGCTTGAAGACCCTTTAAGGGAATAATTACTCTATGATATCCAAGAAGGAAAATATGGCAGTTTAAAGAAAACAGCTGTTCTTCTTTGGTGGGGGAGGGGCAGAGAGAGCATCTTAAGCAGGCTCTCCATCTCACAACTGAGGTCATGACCTGAGCCAAAATCAAGAGTTGGACGCTTAACTGACTGAGCCACCCAGGCGCCCCAAGAAAACAGCTATTCTTAATCTTCGTTAACTGGAGTCTCATTAGGTTTTTCAATGTCCCTTCCTAATTCATCAGTGCTCCCCTGCCCAGTTACTCAATAACTAACAGGAAACTCTAAGTATGGACTAGCCATAAAACAGAAGATTACTGCAGCTGAATTATGTTGTGGAAGTACACTGCCATGAAAAAGATGTTCACTATATATCATAAACACCCCTAATCCCCATTATTTACAAAAACTTTTGGAATGATAGAAGTAGAAATTTAAGTGGGACCAGGAATGGGGGGAGCATATTGAGAACTGGTAGCCTATTGAGAACCATTGTCTGGTTTTCAGGCGAAGAGAGCCACTGATAAGAATAACTGGGGAGGGTATGTGTTGTGGTGAGCGCTGGGTGTTAAGACTGATGAATCACAAATAATACATTTTATGTTAATTAAAAAATAATTAAAAAAGGAATAATTTGAAGTGTAATAACATACCTGTACCTATTTTCAAAACCTAATTATTCTAGCCTTCTTTACTCTTGCTAAAAACCTGCTTTGCAAGGGAATCCCTTCGATAAAATCCCATATAGAAAGAATGACATGCCATTTTAACTGAGCTGCCAGCCAAACCAAGTACTTTCAGCTTAGCACCTATCCTTCAAGGCTGGGAAAATGGAAGACAGGTTACCTCCACTGTCCAAAAGTTTGCTTTGTACCACTTTGCTTTTATGAAAGACCCACATTACTATCCATTTTTGTTAACCAAAACAAATCTGAAGAGGATTTTCACTTTTTAACTGCTTCTTTGCTTTATGGCTTTTCAGCTTACAAAAGGTTTTATAGGAACATTTAATTTCAGATAGTGGGGGAAACATGTAATGTCAAGTACTCAGCAGGTTTGCCTAATTCTTAATTCTTCACATTGCAGATCATCCAGTGGTGTAGCAATTCTCTGGTAAGGCAGGTCCACAGCTTTCCTAGAGCCTCTCTCCCCCAGTACTTCCCTACGCAAGAAACGTCTGAGGAAAGGCAGCTCTAGACTTCCAACTTAGGGAAGTGCTTCTCGGTTTTGCTAACGTAAGTTTCAGACAGTTTTGGCTTCCTGTGGCAAGGAAAGCCTCCAAAGTAAATTATTTTTAAGGTCCTCTGAAAGATCTTGACCTTGTATTGGGTACAAGAAATTCATATTCACTGGTCATTCCGTCTATGTTGGAGTTGTATAAACACAGCAGCCCATCCCCTCATTTGAGGAGGATGTTCCAAGACCCCCAGTGGATGCCTGAAACCACGATTAGTACCAAACCCTAAAAGTACTGTTTTTCCCTATACATGCATCCTATGATAAAGTTGATTTATAAGAGTAAGAGATTTTTAAGAGATTAACAAGAATGATAAAACAAGGGGCGCCTGGGTGGCTCAGTCGTTAAGCATCTGCCTTTGGCTTAGGTCATGATCCCAGGGTCCTGGGATCGAGCCCCGCATCAGCCTCCCTGCTCAGCAGGAAGCCTGCTTCTCCCTCTCCCACTCCCCCTGCCTGTGTTCCCTCTCTGTCAAATAAATTCTTAAAAGAAAAAAAAATAAAACAATTGTAACAATATGCTGTAAACCAAGTTATGTAAATGTGGGCTCTTTCTCTCTCTCAAAATATGACCCTGCTTCTTGTGATGAGAAAATGCCTACATGATGAGATGAAGTGAGGGGAAGGACGCAGGTGTTGTGAAGCTGTTAGGCTAGAGGGCCTCCAGGCTGGACAGCAGCCGACCGTGTGGGTAACTGAAATGGCAGAAAGAAAAACTGCGGATCAGAGGGGCCGGATGACAGTCCTGTACCACACCCAAACATTTCTCCTTCATACTTGTGGGGGTTAATCCTAAAGCTAGCAAAGCAATTCTAGGGCAGTGATCTTACCCATCATCAAATCTCTCCAGTCTTCTAGCGCAGCTGAAGAATTTCTGTCCAGCACCTACCATGAAAAGACTCACTGTGGCTGTGTAATATTTCTAAGAATGAACAGAATTTTCGTTTCTTTAAAACATCTTAGAAAGGTCTTTATTCTTGCTTTGTAACAAATGGCAGTGATTTACTCCAATCAGTATCAAATCATTTCATTAATGGAGTAGTATTTTTATCAACCACAAACCTTTCAGAAGGTACTTTGTGACTGAAAGTTAAAAACTTGTACCTTCGCATCAGAAAGAAGTTCGTTTTCTAGATTTAATGATTAAAAACACAAAAACCTGTAACAAAGGGTAGAAACTGAGTCTATAAGGATTCAGGATTTTAGTTAACATTAATGTATAAAAAGTCATTATTTACAATTAGGTTAATAGTAATTGTGGTCGACTACACAAGCAACTAAACAATCTAAAACTAGCTAAATCTCTAATTTTACACTCATTTAAAGGAAAAGCTAAATTTGGATAGGAGCATAAGTGACACATTTAACACTAAGAACACACTATAAAAAAAAAAAAAAAATCACTCCAAGAATGAACACAGGGAGCTGGCTTAGGAGAGGGGAAACTTTGTAAAAGAAAATGTTCAATTCTAGCAAATGGCTATCTTCCAGTCTAAACTAATGATTGCATGAAAAACACCAAGGAGAATACATTCAAGTTAATGGAAACAAGTCTTTATTAAGTAACTTTTAATATCAGAAAAATAAAACTCTTATAATTCTCTTTACAGCAAATATATAATATCAGTGCTTTGGCCATCTTAAGTTAAAGGCCCTTTATCATAAAATATATGGTTTTAAACTTTACTCAAATTGAATTTATAATCCCTATGACTTCCCTACATATACATAACAAAAGAGTGTAGTAAAATTAGCAAATACTAAACTATATTGATAATTTATCATTCTTAGTTTGTGGTTTTTAGAAACAGTACACGCACCTAATATATGTCGATTCCTTGGCTTATTAGTTGCAGTGTACAATGCAACAAAATACAAAATACATGCTTGGTGAACATTCGTTCATATCTACAAGACGGCAGCTAAAGATTAGGTTTCAATACTGACATTTAACTATCCTACAAGCAATTAGCATTACATCATAATATGCCATCAAGGCAATTTTTATACTGAAAAAAATCAAAATAAAAACCGTTATTTGTAAACTTTTATACGAAATGTAACTCTTCAAGTGGAAATAAAAAATAAAATTTGTCTATTTACTATTCAATACACATAGGATTTTCAATTTTTGTTATATTGAGAAAAAAAGCTCTTTTGTGTTGGGAAAATAACGCTTCAAAAAATAATTAGTAGAAAAACCCACCAGTATATTGTTTTGTCCTTTCAATGCCAGCACAGATTTGGGAACATACTGAGGATGAAGTTATAGACATCCACAGGTGAAATGTAAAAGTGTATCTTAAAGAAATCTTTCCTTGTGATTGGAAATAGTTTTGAAATGAAGTAAACTGATTGAAGGTCATCACAGCTGCTTTTGTAAATTATGCTAAGGGCATTATTATCCCTCTCTCCCTCCCCCTCCCCTAAATTACTAAAAAATAAAAATATATTTATAATGTGCAAGACATATGGATTGAACATAAAATGTTTCACATTTTGATCTATAGTCTAAAAATTAATCAACAGCTTGATCAGACAAATGAATGGAATGTTCGCATCCTTAATTACTAGCCAATACAGGTGCATCCCAAAGCCCTTCCTGAAATGGGAAAACCCAGCTGGCCGTTTCCACATTCACCAAGGGAGGCAATGGGTAGGAATTCACAATCGGCACAATTGCATTCCTGATCCACTGATCATACCAGCCGTGAGCATTCTGGGCGAGATGAAGGTCAATGTAGCAGTTTTTTGTCCCAAATTATAACCAGTGATCGAGTAAACTGCCATCAGCCCTATTATTACCAATAAGTCATCACAATGCATTAAAAAGTTACTTGCAATCCTGCAGAATTAGGCATAAGTTGTTGTAAAATAAAAAACGAACCTGTTTTGTCAAAACTGGCAGTGTAAAGAAGGCAGCACTGGAAGTGTCTGAATCATCTGTAATGCCAAGTACCCTCCATAAACTCTTAATGTGGCTAGGCTTTGGGACCCACGGTTTTGAAATCTAGACGTATAAACTTTTCTCATAGGCTCACACAACCTATGATTATCTTCACTCAGCCAAGCTGAACTTCAGTTTTAACGATTCTTACACAAGCTATGTCTCTGGGTCTACAGGATAGTATTAATAATTCAAACCAAACTAATAGACAAGAGACCACTTAGGTTTAGTGTTACCATAGCAGCCTTTTATAAGTTTACTAACAACTTTAGCCTAATCCCAATAAAGCCTGATAACAGTCATAAGAATTCATTAGGAAGTTTACTGGGGGTACCATTATACCCATGCCTTTACGAGTCCATATAGAGATATAGTATTTATGTATATATATATAGTTAAGAGTGAATTTGGATTGCCTGAGTAACAGCTGTCTGGCAAACTGGACATGATGGCGTTCTCTTTTCACAGATCTTGTTGGCACATTCCATGCAGAAGAGGTTGTGGCCACACGGAACTAGGGCAGCAATAACTTCATTCTCAAAGCAAATCACACAATCGTGCTTTCGTCTGGATTCTGGAGGTGAGCTAGAGGTGGAACCGCCATTGGAAGAGGAGTAGCTATTGGTACCATTAGAAAAAGCAGGGATGTATATCGGAAGGCCAACATGGTTGCCTGAGTTAGGGGGGTCGCTCCTAACCCTCCGAGCAAGTGGGTGTTCAACGCTCTCAGGAAATGTAGGAGACAGACGAGGAGTGGATGGCTGACTTCCTCTACGCTGAGTCTTCATGTTACCAGAGGGATCACTCCCAAAGCCAGACAGTGGGTTAACTGGTTCAAACGGAGTCCAGATAGTTTGCGCAGATGTTGGTAAAGAGTCAAAGGCAGGAGAATCAACTGCAAGATCTTCTGAGCCTACAGATGGTAGTGTGTCTCCAAACCAAAAGTTTCCTGTGCTAAATGGGCTTGTTGGACTAAAGTCAGCCAGCCTATTGCTTCCAAAGTAGGAATCTGTGGAACCACTTCCCAGAGAACTGGAACTATCATTTCGATAATTGGATATCATTCTTGCGCGGCTGGGAGGAACTGGATTGGAGGAGAGCCACGCAGAGCCCAGAGTGCCACCTTCAAAGCTTACGTCGGTACCGTTGTAATGGAAATCATTTTCTTCGTTGAGTTCAATATAGTTTCCTGTACGCATGGCAATATGCATTTCTATTTCTTCTCGCGCTCGGTCAACATTTTCGGGCATCCCTGTCACTTCAAAGACAGGCTCCTTATCTCTGCTTGGAGTTACTATGTATGTGTGGGTCTGCTGCTGAATTCTCTTTATAGTTGCTCCTTTGGGCCCAACGACCAATCCTACCACACGATAGGGGACCCTCACTTGAACGGTGGTTTGACCTGGCAGATTTGGACTACATGACAACCCTCCCAGGGCAGGACCATTTTTGTTTCGAGATGCACGGATCATGGAGAAGTGCTCTGCAGCTGAGAGAATTTCTCTTTTGGCCATGGCAACATCTTCTTTCCGTCCAGTGACAACAAAAATGGGCTCTTCACCACGAACAGGTGTCTTGATATATGTGTTTGTCTTGGCTCTCAGTGCTTTAATTTTACAACCTGTTAGAAAGAAAATATTTCACAAGAATCAACATCTATGTCAATATTGATAAAGACAAATCACAGAAAGCTCCTTTCAAGCTAAATGTCTGCTTGTGGGCAGTTTTTTTTCTTTATCATAAAAACCTGTCACTAGATCATGAGAAAGCTTTCCTAACTCCACAAATGCTCCCCCATCCTCAGGCATACTTGTCTGCTGGTCTTTCACTTAGGAATAGGCGGCACCTCCACTGGGAGATCTTAGAAGTCACGCCTATTGTTTCCGTCTTGTTATCAGTCACTGCAAATGATGCACGCACTACTCTGTACAGGCAAGCTTTACCATATGCAGGTCTGACATTCAGAACAGGAATAATCAACTCCCTTGCAGGATGTTGGTGGCAAAGAAAAACCACTAATGCACATGTAAGACACTGAATATCTACTCTCTCATTCAATCTATACAATAACCCTAAGAACTAGGTTACTTCACTCCTTTTATTGCTAAGGAAAGTGAAGCTTATGAGAACAGTTAAACCTACTCTAACTTCAAAATCTATGGTCTTTTTGTCAGTCCGAGAACCTCAAATTTTGCACAACTCTAAGACAGAAGTTGTTTAATGGACTTCCACCTAATTGTCGTATTTTAACATTACTCTTTCCTCTATAAAATTCATGATGAGCAAAATGCTCATGGCTCAAAGGTCATCTCACATCTGCTCACATCAACTGAATTTGAGGCTTACTAAGATATCCCCATATCTGGTTATTCTAGTCGTACTCATGCATTAACTAAATTAACTTTGACATAAATCAGCGAAATACGAATGCAAAAAGACACTGTACTTGTATGAAAATGAAGCTGATTATTTTTGAAAATCTCAATAAAGGGGTGCCTGGGTGGCTCAGTCAGTTAAGCATCTGACTTTGGCTCAAGTCATGATCTCAGGGTCCTGGGATCAGCCCTGTGTCCAGGCTCCATGCTTGGTGGGGAGTCTGCTTGTCCCTCTGCCCCTCTCCCTGCTCATGCTCTCCCTCTCTCTAATAAATAAATACATTCTTTAAAAAAAAAAAAAAGAAAATCTCAATAAAAGATGTGTACCTTAAAGAAAAAAAAAGGTTGTTGTTGAATTATGTATGGGTGAGACAACTGTAAAGACCTGGGGTAAAAAAACTAACACAGAATGACTCTGCATTCACTGTAAAATTCTTGCTAAATTCAAAAGAAACATATTGGAAATTGTATGGAACATGGGCATATCCTGGATGTGATTTTATTAAAAGACTACTCAGATTGGCAGACCCATTCTCAATAGAAGCCTTTGGCCCAAATCCTAACTGCATTTAAGTTAAAATAAAATACCTGAGATGCATATTCATAACTATCCATAATTCTTCAATTAACTTTTTAGAGTAATCACCTATTACCAGTGCCAACTATGTGAGATTAGAGGGCTTCAAAGTGTAACTCAAAATGTCAAATAGACAACTAAGGCATAGAACTCTGGGGTTATACTTTTCAAAGATCTTAATGTGAAGCTTGCTAGAATAGATTTGTTCTCATGAATATATCACGTTATTCCTAGGTTCCTCAAAATGAAGAGGCCAGGTGCTCTTAAAGACACATGTCACATCTTGGGTAGTCGTTTTTTTTTTTTTTTAGCCCCCCCCTTTTTTGCCCCCAATAAATTAATAATGTATAAAAACTAAGTCTTTATATACATCATTTCTAATCTGTATAACTGCAACCCCCACCCCGCACAGGTCTCCTTGCCTCCAGTCCCAACTTACTCCAACCCATTCTCTATATTCATTTTAGTCAAATGATGGTTTCTTTCTTTCTTTCTTTCTTTTTTTTTTTTTTAAAGATTTTCTTTCTTTATTTGACAGAGAGAGACACAGCGAGAGAGGGCACACAAGCAGGGGGAGTGGGAGAGGGAGAAGCAGGCTTCCAGCAGAGCAGGGAGCCCGATACGGGGCTCGATCCCAGGACCCCGACATCATGACCTGGCATCAGCAGAAGGTAGATGCTTAACGACTGAGCCACCCAGGCGCCCCCAAATGATGGTTTCTAAATAAAACACAGATCACATGATCACTTCTTTGCATAAAGTGCTTTAATGGCTCCCTTTTACCATAAGGATAAAGTCCAAACAATGTAGCACACAAGGCCCCTCTTTACCGGTATCCTTTTCCCCTTCCTCACTTCTTTTTTTTTTATGATTTATTTGAGACAGACAGCGTGCGAGCGCCTGGAGTGGGGGAGAGGCAGAGGGAGAAGCAGACTCCCTGCTGAGCAGGGAGTTCCATGCAGAGCTCTTCCCGGGATCATGCCCACTGAGCCACCCAGGTGCTCCTCCCCTTCCTCACTTCTTAAACTCTGCAGTGTGCTTCTACCATATTAAACTCCTATCCATGCTCCCTTGCTTCCATGACTAGAATGTTCCTTTGTCCTTGCCTCTTTCCTCCCACCTCTGCTTGCTTAATTCCTGCTGGCCTTTCAGATTTTAGTTTAGATGTCTCATCCTCTGCGAAGGTTCCTATCCTCAGGACTGCTTTGTGGGCCCTTCCTAAACATTCCCAAACCACTGGGTGGTTGACTAGAAGTATAGGCATTTGAGGTGTCCATATGACATGTGTTGAAACAAAGATCAGTTTTCTGTATAAAAACACTGGCCTTTCTTATACATATTGCTTTGCATCTAACCTTTCTTTGCTGAGCTTTTCAAGACTTTCATATTCTAGCCCCATACTGCTAATACAACTTTGTTGAAAGGAGCTGATTATGCTAACTTCAATTATAACATATTCAACATAACTTTATTCAACCTGTCATTGGACTTATGGATCTTAACCCAGATCTATTCACCCTTCCAACAAAATGTAAAACTCACAAAGAAATTTTTTTTTTTTTTTTTCCCCTTACTGCTGGATCCTAGGTACCTATCATGAAAACACTTTTAGAGTCAGGTTTACTCGAATCTGAGGTTATATTCATTTGAGAAGACTTGGTGGGGAGTGGCTAAAAGCAAAACTGCAAGGAAAGCACTTAGTGCAGTAACTGGATGAGGTAAGAAGGGCCAAGGGGAGGGGGGGTGGCTTGTGGCTATCAAGAAATTACTACAATGAGTTGAATTTATGCTACTGTAAAACTCAAAAGTTTTAACTATAAAGAGTGCTGCTGTAAGTTTACATCTATAATGAACTATAAGATTAAGTTGATGGTGTAACTTCTGACTATAAGTCAATGTTATTGCTTTTGCTCCAAAATAGAAGGTGAGTTAGAAGATGAGAGCAATAAAACTTTTATATCTACTTATTTATACAGACTGGATCTCCAGGAGATTCCATCAATTCAGCACAGGTGTTGCTTGGGGCTGTGAATGGAGAGTACTTCCCATCGGCCAATCAACATGTGACTGATGGAGAGCGGCCTAAGAAATTCTGAAAGGCTAATGTGAACAAATAACTAACTGTTCACCCTATACTTTCAGAGGAGTTATTGTTATTATTCAGATATTCTGGGCTACAAGTTAACAAGAAGGCAGTCTGCTGGCATCACATTTCTAACAAAGAGGGTCCTGTTCATCCTGCAGAAAGCACTGGGCAATTTCTATTAAGGACAAAGGGAGAAATAACCAAAGGGTCTGGGGTTAGCCCCTCTCAACCTTTACTAATATTGACCACTAGAAAGTTGAATTGAGTAAACTTCTCCAAGTAAATACTTTCGAGACTATAAGCAACAGTCAATTGACCTTAGTAGAATACTTTTTGTTTAATACCTAGTAGGTATATTATTAACTAAGAAAATATGCCTAAAGGTACACAAACCACTCTCTGGCCTATGGTTGGTACTAACAAAGAGGTGTTTAATAATTGGCTCAATAGGAAGACAGAAGACAAACAATCTGAGCAGGAACCACTTCTGAGATAGGAGCGTTAAGAGGCCTATCTTGCCCCAAAGGACAGTGTCTGTAGGTTTTGCAGATCAGGGTAGAGGTAATGGGAAGATTGCAAAGCCAACCTCTTTAAGCCACCTACCAACAAAAACAGAAGAATGTATTTGTTCTCTCTCCTGAATTTTGTAAGACAGTTTTAACACAGGAGCCTCAACTCAGATTAGGACTACAGGAAACCTCATCAATCATAATACTGTTTCTATAGAAACATATATATTCTGAGTTTCAAACAACTAACACATGTTGAGGCAATTTGAATAGGGAGAGTTCTAAATAGGCAACACAAACTAAAGAAAACAAACTTGTTTTATTATTTTACAGGTGAAGAAGATTAAAAAGGTTAAAAAGTTTTTTGGAATATCTTAGATTGAGTTTCCATTTGAAAAGTCTAAGATAGTTAAAAAATCATGGAAGAATTTATAATCTCAGAGCAGCACAAAACTCAGATGCCGTAAGAATAAAGACAAATGAGATTGCACTTTAAAAAAAACTGCTGCATGGCAAAAGTCACCAAAAACAACGTGAAGAAATAATTATTTACAACTTACACCACAAATGGCTAATTTCTCTCTTACACACATAACCCTGGCCCTATGTATCAAAACACCAAAACCCAATTAAAAAATAGGTAAAAGAAACAGCTCATAGAAAAGTAAATATATAAATGGCTATGGACCATGAAAACTCCCACTTTCACGTGAACTGAAGTATGTTTTTCCACCTATAAGACTATCAAATATCAAAACCAGAGCTAGTAATAACAGGGAAAAGGACTTTCATATTTAACTGCTGAGAGTACGAACTGCTCGAGGGCACTTTGCATTATTTATCAAAATTACAACTGCACGGACAAGAAGGCAGTCTGCTGGCATCTGAGGGCACTTTGCATTATTGTCTGTCTACCCCTACAATCCCACTCATAGAGTTGATTCTGTAAAAATACTTGCACAGGTGCAAAATGACCTTTGTATTATATTACTTAATTGTTTGTATTAGTGTGCGGCCAACATAGCTATATAATGGAATACAATGCAGTCATAAAACTGGTTGATTTAGGGGGAC